ATTCCCACTGTCAACTGATTTTGACAAAGGTGCCACGGTAATTCCATGCAGAAAGGATAGTCTTTTTGACAAATAGTGTTGGGACAATTAGATATCCATATGGAAAAAGTATGAACCTAGACACACGCAAAGTAACTTACATATTAGGAACTAAAATGAAAAGACTTCTGAAAGAAAACATTGGAGAAAATCTTTGTGACCTTAGATTAGGCAAATCTTTTTAGATAAGACACAGAAAGCAAAAAACATAACATAAAAAGATAAAATGGACATCATCAATATTGAAAGCTTTTGTTCTTTGACTTTTTTTAAAAAAGGAAAAGTCAAGCCACAGACGGGGAGAAAATGTTTTCGAAATGTGTATCCCATAAACGACTTGTATCCAGAATATATAATTACATATTGCTACTCATTAGTAAGAAGACAATCCATTTAATAAAAGACAGGAAGCAAGAGACTTGAACAGATACTTAACAGAAGGCGATATACAAATGGCCAATGAGCACAGTTACAACATCATTAGTCATCAGGGAAGTACAAATTAAGACTATAATGAGATACCACTGCACACCCTCTAGAATGCCTAAAATTAAAAAGTCTGGTAAACATCAAGTGCTGGAGAGGATATGAAGCAACTGAAACTCTCATGTACCACTATACAACCCAGAAATCCTAGACATTTACCCAACAGAAATTTTAAAAATTTAAAAAATATATAAAGACTCATACACAAGTGTTCATAGCAACTTTCTTCATAATACCAACCCTAGCATCCTAAATTGTCATCAGTTTGTGAATGGATAAATAAATGATGGCATATTTATACAACAAAATACTGAAAAGCTGTAGAAAGGAGTGGACTACTGGTAATACACAAAAATGTAGATAAATTTCAAAAGCATTATATTAAGTGAAACAGTCCAGGCACAAGAAAAATACACATTATATAATTTCATTTATATGAAATTTGAGAAAAAGCAAAACAATTGTAAGTAGATTCATGGCTATCTATGGGATGGGGGAAAAGAATCAGCTGAAAAGGGGTAGGAGTATTTTGGCTTATAGAAATGTTCTCTACCTTGACTGTGGTGGTGGTTACATGACTGTATATATTCATTAAAATCACCAAACTCTATACTGAAAATAATTGGGCTTTAATGTTTATTAATTATGCCTCCATAAAGGTGATTGTTTTTATCTTTTAGTTTTATTTTATTTCCATAGTTTTTGGGGAACAGGTGGTTTTGGTTTTTGGTTACCTGGATAAGTTTTTTAGTGGTGATTTCTGAGATTTTTATGTACCTATCACCCAAGCAGTGTCCACTGTACCCAATGTGTAATCTTTTATCCTTCACCCCCTTCTCACTCTCCTCCCCCGAGGACCCAAAATCCATTATATCATTCTTACGACTTTGCAGCCTCATAACAGCTTATTATTTTTAAATACACACACACACACACACACACACACACACACACACACAGAACTTCCAATGACAGTAAGTGTTCAAGAAGACTCTTTTAGTAAAGACAGAATCACAAAACCATCAGAGGCATTGCTGAGAGGATTTTTGTGGTCTGTAAATACCTCCATGGACACCCAGGTTAGCAACCTGCTGGGCTTTAAGTGGGAAAATAGTAGCATCACAACAGACAGCCTAGAGAAATTTACGTCCCAAGTTGTGTCAGTAGCAAGTCCTTATCAATAGCAACTCAGGCTTTGTGAGGTGTAGCTGGCTAGAAGTTTCCCTCTTGGACTTGTCCCTGCAATGTTGTGTAATATTCTTAGCACCATCTGGCTAATCCATTTAGGCATCAACGTCTTCAAGACTTCCTTTCCTCCTTCTAAATCTTGCTTTCAGTAAAGTTTTAGAAATTCTTCCAACAACAAAATGATTGCTAAAACGAAATGTATTACCCTCCCAGTGGTAATTTTGGTTAGCCAGGGTAGAGCTATAAGTGAAAAATCTATTTCCAGTGTAAGAATATAAGGCACAGTGAGCAAGGGAAGGCATACACTTTTTTAATGCAAGGAACTTCTTCCTAATCCTCCTGAAGTTGCATCATTTAAATAAGTATCTCTTCCATATATAAAGTCTGGCATGTGGCAAGTGCTCAGTAAATGCTTGTTGAAAGAATAATAAATAAAAGTCACCACAATTTCTCTCTGAGTCCCAGAACTTTGAAGCCTTTTCAAACTTTCCTTCTTTTGGTATCTATGGGGAATACATTTCTGAAGGTCGTTCTTGGTGTCTTTCAGAACCCATCAACATGGAGAGGGGAGAGAGTGAACAGATCCAGAAAAGGTAAATCCTGACCCTGCGACATTGATGAGAGGCATAATCCCCAGAGTGTCTGTTACTTGAATAGGATTATGCCTAAGGCGTACTGAGACCTCAGCAAACCTGAAGTAATGGAGAGGGAGAGGAAAATAAGACTAGTTAATACTTAGAAGAAAATAACCTGTTAAAGGATGACAGGGTATCCAATGCATGATACCCAGAAAGCATGACAAGCTCTGTCATGGTCAAGTAATAGTCAATACAAAAGAGTTCTGAGGTGGTGAACATGAAATGCATCTTATCTGCCATGGTAGCCCCAGTACCTAGCACAGTACCTAGACTAGTATACATCCTACATGTGTGGAATGAATAAATGAAGAAGTGGGGAGTGACAACATGTTTTCTTCAGCCTCAGCATCTTAGTATCTGCTATAGCTCTGTTTAGAGTGTTCTTCTGATACTTCTTTACTTCATTCTTCAGATTTTGCCTCAAGCAGCAGTTTTTTAAAAACCCTATCCCAAACTAGAAAATGTTCACTTGTTACAGTGTCAGGTGGATCCCGGGGCTTTTTCTTAACACCATATTATGCTTACATATTTGTGTAATTATCTTATTAAACTCTATAAACTAGACTAAACTAAATTCTATGGAGGGCAGAGACCATACCAGTTAAGCTCATCATTGTGCTGCTAGCACCTAGCATGGCTCCTGGCATATGCTCAATAAATGCTTGTTGAAAGAATGAGTGATGCATGAAGAATACATAAAGTCTCATAGTGATCAGTCCTTTCACGACATGAAGCTATCAGATAGTCTGTATCTCTATCTCTTCTAAGAAATTAAACTCTCAAGAATATCAAGGCTTTGACTGCATAGCCATAGGATCAAAGCAAACCTCAGTCACAAGCGTGGTTGCAGAGACAGGGTCATAACTCCCAGGGTGCAGACACCACCAAGAGTGTCCAGTACTTATCCTGATATGCCAGCCACTGTGATTCTAGCAACATGACTAATAATTTCAGGCACACTTGGACAATGAGAAAGGGTGTTGAAATCCAACCTACCCTGTCAGACTCAATTTCAAAAATGGTCTTGAAGAGCCTGCAGAGGGCAGGCAGCAGAGAATCAGCAGAAGGAGTGGGCAGGGCCAGGCAGAAATAAAGGATAGTTATTGAAGCATAGATGACAGTGTAGTGCATGGTTCTTTTCTCTTGCCTTCTCCACCTTTCTCTTCAATAGTTTGTTTCTCCTCATTGCTATTCCAATGGCCACTCTATTCTGCCCTATCATTGAAATCTAGAAAAAGAAAGTAGCTCAACTGTGAAATCTCACCCAATCTTTTCTTCTGTTTTTCCAGCGTAAAAATCCATGTACCTGAAAGATCTGATGAAGCCCAGCATGTTTTTAAAAGTTCCAAGACACCTTCATGCGACGAAAGTGATACATGTTTTTAATTAAAGAGTAAAGCCCATACAAGTTTTCATTTGTAACACAATTTCATTTGCAAGTTTCTGGGCAACCTTTCTCATTTTTTCTGGAAAGCAAGAAGACATTACCATTAATAATAGGGGGACAGGGTCATAACCCCCAGGACTCCCTCTAAGTGGAATAGCCTCCCTGTAACTCCAGCTGTTCTCCATATGCCAAAAGCAGACTTTAATTCTCTCATTGCTTCTTTTCACTGTGGAACACTCTTATGAGCCAAGCCCAGCTTAATGATTCATGGCCTGGAAATAAAATTTAGGACCAACACGTCCTCCAGATCAGATTATTCTCTTAATGTCATAGATTGTGGTTTTTAAAAAATAGAACTTCTGGAAAACTGCATTTTATCTGCTCAAAATTCTAAGCTGGTGCCTCACTGAATCTTGTATACCTGTGACTGAACAACTACCTTCTCAGTCTGGGTGGGAGTTAGGTATTTATGACCTTACAGTGCTAATACTTTGAAACATAAAGATCCATGTACTGTAATAGTGTGATTACTATGCTCTAGAGAAGTCTATCTCTGCTAAGGATTGTTGTCCCTCTGTCAGGGTCAGTAAGAAAAATGGTGGCCTAGGGTACAGGCAACAATGAGCAGACCAACCTAAATTTGGGGAAATTAGGAGAGGCAGAGATAGAACCTGGAGCCACTTTTTTCTGGGCAGTCACTAATGTTGAGGAAGCTTGCCTTGCCCAACAAGCCCTAGTGGAGAGCACTAAATAAACAGGAAAGTGCTGGATCTTGTGAACTCTGTTTCTCTGGAAGAATTGACTAGTGAGATGGCCTGGGGAAGCTCTGAAAGAATCAACAGAGATCACAATACTCAAAAGAGAAAAAAAGAGAGATCTTAATCCAAAGAAATGCATGAAATGTCTGGTCTGTCCAGTCCATCAACAAATCTTGAAACAAGCAACAGATATACAGTCTGTCCAAATGGACTTAAGACAGACAGCAGTTTCCCTGGTGGTCAGGGAGAGGTTTTGGTGATACCCAAGTTATTGGGATGTCATCTTCCTGGAAGCAGAGATGGGGAGGGAGAGCCATTGTCTTGATAATGGGATGAGTGGAAGGAGGCTTAGGGCTCTCCACTCCTGGCTGAGAGAGAAAAAGCTGCAATGGAATTAGGAAGACCAAGATGCAGATCATGTAGGGGCTTCCTTAATGTACAAATGTCCTACAGGAATCTGGGCTGGCCCAGAGTAGCAAATTTCAGTTGGATGATTGTTTTTGCTGAAGGCAACCAGAGGAAAACTGCGTACAGAGATGGATATACTGGGAGAAATGACTTTGGAAACCTGGCTCAAAAGTAGGATTAGTAAGGGATGGAGCAGTCTCTGTCCAAACCTAAAGAGAACTCTGGGGGGCCTAAGCCACAAAAATAGTTCCTTTATTTTACTTGAACAACCCCCAAGGGTTATAGACTGCTATGCTAGACAAGCTTGTCCATGTAGTATTCCCATATGTGTACAGTGCCCCTGCCTTCATTAGATTCCTAGCACCTGGCCAGTTTCTAACATGTTTTGTGCAGCACAATTTTTAATAAATGCTTATTACATTCATTTAAAAGTCTACATTTTCTACTTTGGCTTCCAGAGTACTACTCAACCCTTGTGGTGTGATGTTCCCTGCTCTGTCCTCTGAATGTACTTCCTTTCTCTTGACATCTCTATAGCTAGAAGCCTCTGACGCATCCTACATCTTCTCCTCCTCTCCTTCCCGTGCCATTATTTGAGAAAAAAGGTTTGTATAATTTGTATACTTCTATATGTTTATCTCAGTAATGAGTTATAAAAAATCAAGTAAGAATGGTTGCTTTCAAGGACAACTAAGAAATCTTGAATAAGAAGGGAAGTTTACTTTTGAATTTGTAACCCGTGCTGTGTAATTTAAAAATTTTTAAATATGTGTATTAAAAGCTTAACGTAAAAATATTCCTTGAAAACACCATGAATTTAAAATAAATGCATATATATATATACAGCATGTGAGAAAAGCCAGGAAAACTCTGGACAAAAGAAAATGACCTAGATTCTCTGAAGGCAGGAATGTGTTTAATTTCTTACCGATGGATCCCAAGTACTTAAGATAGTTGTCTATCCTGTTGTGATGAATTTTTGCCTTTTGTTCTATTTCTTAAAGATTTCCTCAACTTTATCTAACTTCTGCATATTTTTATTTGTGCTATCATTTATTATTTCCAGAATTCCTTTTTGTTCTCTCAAAACATATCTGTTTAAAGATTGAATGACTTATTAACATGCCCTTTGGTAAGAACATCCCTCCTTTGTATATTAAATTCTCTGAACTGCTGTATTCTAAGACCAGGGGAAAGAAAAAAAAAGGTCGAAAGAGATCATTAGGCAGAATAGTACTAGCTAACATTATTTCACGTTTACCATGTACCAGTTGTTCATCTAAACCTTTAAATTCATTATATTATCACATTAACCCTGTGTTGTAGGTAATGGAATATTATGCCCATTATGCTGATGAGAAAAATCTAAGCACAAAGATGAGTCAGAGTAATTTACCCAACATTGTTAACTTTGTAAGTGGCAGAGCTGGGGAGAATTTTGCAAAGCATCATCTCCTTCACCCTTTTATTTGCTAGCCTTTCTGATTATCGAAGAGACAGAATTTGAGTTGCTTGCAGTTCAAGTGCACTGCACTCTCTCAGCCCCACTGCACTGGTGACTCTAGTGGACCCATCACTGAAATTTCCACAAGTAATTCCAATCTTATGTGGCCAGGTACTAATAGATAACAAGATACATAAGAAGAAAAGTGAAAATGAGATTTGGGTCAAAGGGAAGTCAGTTGTGTTTATTGCTCCCAACTCCTTTCCTTCAGCCCTGCTACTTATTAGTCTTTTGCAATGCCCCCTCCTTCCTTTGCTATTCTGAAGCTAGTGTCATTAGCTGATGTCCTTATATTTGTTAGCTGATATGGTTTGGCTATGTTCTCACCCAAATCTCATCTTGAACTGTAGTTTCCACAATCCCCATATGTCGTGGGAGGAACCCAGTGGGAGGTAATTGAGTTATGAGAGTGGTTAACCTCATGCTGTTCTCATGATAGTGAGTTTTCATGAGATGTGATGGTTTTATAAGGGGCTTTTACCCCTTTTCCTTGGCACTTCTCCTTCCTACCATCATGTGAAGAAGAATGTGTTTGCTTCCCCTTCTGTCATGTTTCCTGAGACCTTCACAGCCCTGCTAAACTGTGAGTCAGTTAAACCTCCTTCCTTTATAAATTACCCTTTACTTCCTTTATAAATAGTCTTGGGTATGTCTTTATTAGCAGCGTAAGAAGAAACTAATACAGTAAATTGGTACTGAGTAATGGGGTGCTGCTGCAAGGATACTCAAAAATGTGGAAGCAACTTTGGTACTCGGTAACAGGCAGAGGTTGGAACAGTTTGGAAAGCTCAGAAGGCAGGAAGAGGTGGGAAAGTTTTGAATTTCCTAGAGACTTGTTGAATGGCTTTGACCAAAATGCTGATAGTGATATGGACAATGACATACAGGCTGAGGTGGTCTCAGGCAGAGAAGAGGAACTTGTTGGGAACTGGAATGAAGGTGACTCTTGTTATGTTTTAGCAGAGACTGGTGGCATTTTGCCCTGGTCCTAGAGATTTGTGGAACTTTGAACTTGAGAAACATGATTTAGGGTAGGTACCTGGTGGAATAAATTTCTAAGCAGCAAAGCATTCAAGATGTCACTTTGGTGCTGTTAAAAGCATTCAGTTTTATGTATTCACAAAAATATGGTTTGGAATTGGAACTTATGTTTAAAAGGGAAGCAGGGCATGAAAGTTTGGAAAATTTGCAGCATGACGACTTGATTAAAAATAAAACATTTTCTGAGGAGAAATTTAAGTCAGCTGCAGAAATTTGCGTAAGTAACAAGGAGCCAAATGTAATTGCCAAGACAATGGGAAAATGTCTCCAGGATATGTCAGAGGTCTTCACAGAGGCTCCTCTCATCACAGGCCCAGAGGCTCCAGGAGGGAAAAATGGCTTTCTGGGCCAGGCTGCTTTGTGCACTTTTGGGACTTGGTGCCCTGTATCATAGCCGTGGCTAAAAGAGGCCAAGGTATGGTTCAGGCCATGGCTTCAAAGGGTGCAAGCCCCAAGCTTTGGCAGCTTCCACATGGTGAGCATGCAGATGCACAGAAGTCAAGAATTTGAGTTTTGGGAACCTCCCATAGATTTCAGAGGATGTATGGGAACACCTGGATGTGCAGGCAGAAGTTTGCTGCAGGGGCAGAACCCTCATGGAGAACCCCTGAAACGGCACTGCAGAAGGGAAATGTGGGGCTGGAGCCCCCACACAGAGTCCTCGCTGGGGCACTGCCAACTGGAGCTATGAGAAGAGGGCCACAATTCTCCAGACCCCAGAATTGTAGGTCCACTGACAACTTGAACCATGCATCTGGAAAAGTCACAGATACTCAACGCCAACCTGTGAAGGAAGCCAGGAGGGGTGCTGTACCCTGCAAAGCCACAGGGGCAGAGTTGTCCAAAGCTACAGGAGCCTACCTCTTCCATCAGTGTGACCTGGATATGAGACACAGAGTCAAAGAGATCATTTTGGAGCTTTAAGATTCTACTGCCCCACTGGATTTTGAACTTGCATAAGGCCTATTGCCCCTTCATTTTGGTGAATTTCTCTTATTTGGAATGGGTGTATTTACCCAATGCCTGTACCCCCATTGTATCTAGGAAGTAACTAACTTGCTTTTGATTTTACAGGCTCATGGGCAGAAGATACTTGCTTTGTCTCAGATGAGACTTTGGACTTGGACTTTTGGGTTAAAGCTGGAATAAGTTAAGACTTTGGAGGACTGTTGGAAAGGTATGATTGTGTTTCAAAATGTAAGGACATGAGATTTGGGAGGAGCTGGGGTAAAATTATATGGTTTGGCTGTGTCCCCATCCAAACCTCATCTTGAATTGTAGTTCCCATAATCTTCACATGTTGTGGGAGGGACCCAGTGAGACATAATTGAAACATGGGGGCGGTAACCCTCATGCTGTGCTTCTCATGATAGTGAGTGAATTCTCATGGGATATGATGGTTTTATAAGGGGCTTTTCCCCCTTTTGCTTGGCACTTCTCCTTCCTGCCATTCTGTGAAGGAGGGTGTGTTGCTTCCCCTTCAACCATGATTGTAAGTTTCCTGAGGCCTCCTCAGCCCTGCTGAACTGTGAGTCAATTATACCTCCTTCCTTTATAAATTAGCCAGTCTTGGATGTGTCTTTCTTAGCAGCATGAGAAGGAACTAATACATTAACCTGGGCTCGAAAGCAAAAAGCCATCTCTGATGACTGCATTCAACCTTTCGCTAGCACTCACTGCTCACCCCTGCCCTCTTGCCTCATTCTGTTATCAGTCATCACCAGGCTAGACAAGCATTCCTCCCACTTTCACACCCACCTCTTCTTTTCTCATTCAGGACCTTATTTATTCATTCCAAGAACATGATAGTCACCTCCCAACAGATTTCAGTCTCCTGTCTCTTTTACCCTGCATTCTGTCACCAAGAGAAACAAGAAGGTAAACAGAAAAGATCTCCCTCACATTCCCTTTCCCTAGCCACACAACTCTGATCTCCAGCTTCCTGGGTATTCACTCATAGACACACTATGCCTATATATAAGTGTGTGTACACACACACACACACACACACACACTCCCCTTATTCAGGCAGATTTCGTTTTAATTTACACCACAGTCTAAAGAAATCAAAAGACTCTTGCTAGGATGATTGACATCAGTCTTCAGTGTAATCCTTAATTTTAAGCAAGTTAAAAACATACACCTGTATGTATCAGTTTTCATTCTCATCAATAGTCTAGCATCATTGTGGATCTTATAATAAAAGTGAGATTCCATTGGATTTTACTATGTCACCTATTCACTTCAGAAGAAAAGATACTTACAAATACAGAATCCTTCACTGTCCTTAGGCACAAAGTTTCAAACCTGCTTCAATCTGAACAAGTTACACCCTAGGTCTGGTGAGCAACAGTTACTCTGGAGGGATCTCCCAATTCCTATGTCCATATAGTTGTCTTTCTTGATTAGCCTCCTCAAGTGGTGGTACACATCCTTCAGTAGCTTTCTTCAGTAACTTTCTGAGAAAGGACCTGTGGGAAATATACTTAAGAGTCTATTACAAATGGAAGAAATTTGGAAAGCAATGAGGAGAACCTTTCCATTGTATGTGGCAGATGAGGGCAGAAAAGAGAATAATTCACCCAACACCAGAGAGCCATGACCAGAACTCAGGCTCCTTATTTTCAGTCCAGAGTTCTTTCCACCCTACTGTGCCCCTCTAACCTTCCTGTTAACTGGAAGAGCTGGAAAATGAGTGTTAACAGAGCATAATGAAGCAAGATTGTGGACTTCAGGTCAGATAGTCCTGACACCGCTATACTTGACTGTGTGACCTTAGGCTAATTACTTAATCTCTCTGATTGTCAGTTTTCTTATTTGCAAAATAGGGTTAATAATATCTACCTACCTTACAGGATCAAGGGCAATCCAAAAGATGA